TGCTAAATTAGGGATAGCTAGTGCAGATAGCCTTCTTGCAGCTTTGCGGAAAAACCATAACAAACAAACAAACATCTCCGCCACGCAGCGTTGATCATATTCGGCTCTCAAAAAAATGTGTCCGTATGTCCGTCGTTATTAACGGACACGAACCATTTTTGGCAGGACAATGAGGAATAATATTCTACATAGGTCCACCAAGTTTTACCAAAATCCGATCATTTTTTGACTGAGTTATAAAATCGGTCCCCATGGTAACAGACAGGGATATATTGGATTATCGTGACCTTGGTGTGACCTTGACCCTCCAAAAATTAATCCCTTCTAAGATGATTCATAATACGAATGTATATCAACTTTCGTGACAAACACACACACACACACACAGAGGGCTGAAAACATAATCTCCGTGGGGTCGAAGGTAACAAGAAACACTACACGAACCTTCAGGATAAGGCAAAGCACGTGAGAACGTTGAGGGGGGGGGGAGACAGTCGTTACTGTACAAACAAAAATACAAATTAAATTCTTTACTTTCCACTACAAGCTTGTAATTCCTACAAACAACACGAGATGTTTCAGATAATAACCAGTAAACACAATACACAGAAAGTTGCTATGTGTAAGATTTAGAATTTCACAAAGATTTGGAGTCTCATTTCCGCTGGCAAATTCAGCCAACTGCACAGAAAAAGACTGAATACAAAAACTATTGTAAACACAATACTGGGGGTTGGGTGATATTTAGGCCCCAATGTAACTATTGGAGACACGTTCCCCCCGGGTCCTGGCATCTCTGTGGGGAACAGTTCTGTAAAATACGTAACAGGTGATAACCAAACCGATTTAGTGATACGGCATAACAACTGAGGGTGTGGGGTGGGGGTGAGAGAACAAAAGGTGAAACTTCATAATCACAACATTCAGTTTGTGTTTCTTCGCACCCTCAATTCAGGAACACGAGGAACTAGTTTTTTTTCAGGGGTTAACTAAGTCAGTTCACATGTATGACGTACCTGTACAATTAGATGTATTGTTGCCGCCAAGGGTTGGTTGTCAGTAGAAATGAAATAAAGATGGGCACAATATAAATAATAGTTGACTATTTATCATAGTTCTTTCAGAGTGTGTCTTACCTGCTCTCCATTGGCTATTCTTACTGGTTGCAGGTTTCTAGCCACAAAAGCTGTGACATTATTTTCTGTATCAATGGAGATCTTGCGAATTGTGCCTTCAGAGCTACAGAAATATAGAATATAACTGAATGTCAGATGTTTTACTTTAACACTATCATATTTATATAAAAGAAAAGAACTGAATGTCAGATGTTTTACTTTTAATTTTCTTTTATAAAAATATGATAGTGTAATTGTATGTCAAGGTTGTAAGCCTACAGGCTTGTAATTGTATTTCAAGGTTGTAAGCCTACAGGCTTGTAATTGAATGTCAAGGTTGAAAGCCTACAGGCTTGTAATTGAATGTCAAGGTTGTAAGCCTACAGACTTGTAATTGAATGTCAAGGTTGTAAGCCTACAGACTTGTAATTGTATGTCACGGTTGAAAGCCTACAGGCTTGTAATTGTATGTCAGGGTTGTAAGCCTACAGGCTCTATACTTTCAGTATCGTAGCTTGGTATTGTGCGAAAGGCCTCATCGGTACAGGATAAATGTGGTTATAATGTTATTTTTCTGAGTTTTTTCATGTGGTGTCGCATTTTAAACTAATACTTCTTGTTCCCTTTGATATCGCTTCGCCATTTATTTTTTTTTGAGTCAATTTATACGAGATACTCAACTCACGCCATGCTCTGGATATTCAAATATTAAACTCGCCACATTTTTGTTAAACATTTAAAAACAAAATGTCCAGTTATGGCATATATTTAAAATAATAATGCTTACATCAACTCTTTCGGGTTTCGTATTGTTAATGTGGTCTTAATCGGAAACAAAGATCCAGCGACAGGAAGTGACGTCAAGAGTACTGAATGCTCTACATCTGTAGTTAATATATAAAAGTCTGGCTGTCTTAGGTTACTGATAGTTCATTACAATTAATATTATCACATTTATTGCTTGTTCTGTAACTTCAATCGGAGATAAAGCTTTCACCACGAGCAAGTCAGAGTCTACCGAGTTGAGTCGAGTTTTAACGTCTCTCTGAAGGCCCTGTGTAACGTCCTCATAGTTAGGTGGCTGTTCACTGTTGTATTATCACAGATTATTAACTGTGTGGCAGTTATAAAATGGTAAAAATATGCTGTTCTGTAAGTAAACTTACTTTGGCCGGTTATCTTCTGCAGTAAAGCCATGTAGTTCCTGAAAGAAATAAAAATCAAAACTGAAACCAAAAGCTCGAATTTCGTTGAATTCAAAGTTTTTTTACTAACGCGCTAAAAACTGACGAGGAAGTTTTTAGAATGTAAATAAAAATATATAGCCAATCATATTAAAACAGTCACGTTTTCAAGTGACCATGACAACGGATAAACGTTACCGATTTTGTAGTTAGTCTCAGATTGTAAATATCGGCTCATATGTTTGTTTGTTGAATTTCCCGTAAAAACTGGTAGATCTATCAGCACTCGCCGTCCCTAATTTTGAACTGACGGACTAGATGAAAAGTAGGTAGACAACACTACCCACCGCCAACTTTTGGGCTTCTCTTATCAGACCGGATAGTGGGATTTGACTGTACTCTTATAACGCACCCACGGCCCCAAAATTATGAGCGCGACTTATTTTTTTTTTCGGTAACGAGACGCGAACCAAGGATGTGTAGGTCCATAGACCATCACACTAACTACTTAGGGGTACTCATCTGGACACCATTCACAAACTGCTCAATGATATCACAATCTTCACCTGGACACCATTCACAAACTGCTCAATGATATCACAATCCTCACCTAGACACCATTCACAAACTGCTCAATGATATCACAATCCTCACCTGGACACCATTCACAAACTGCTCAATGATATTACAATCCTCACCTGGACACCATTCACAAATTGCTCAATGATATCACAATCCTCACCTGGACACCATTCACAAACTGTTCAATGATATCACGATCCTCACCTGGACACCATTCACAAACTGCTCAATGATATCACAATCCTCACCTGGACACCATTCACAAACTGCTCAATGATATCACGATCCTCACCTGGACACCATTCACAAACTGCTCAATGATATCACGATCCTCACCTGGACACCATTCACAAACTGCCCAATGATATCACAATCCTACCAACAATAGTTGTCTATCAGAATCTGCACCACACTAATGCAATATAAGGACGAGTGTGGCCTTGTAGTTAGCATCTCCGGACTGTGAATCCGAGGTTCGCGTCCCGTAGCCGCAAAAGTACACTTCACACATTTTAAAGTCGCGTGATTGACAGTAAAATTCTACTCTTCGGTAAGACCAGAGTAGTCCAAGAGGTGACGGTGGGCGTTGCTGACAAGCTGCCTTTCCTCTAGTCTATCAGTCCAAAATTAGGGACGGCTTCGTATATTTTTGCAGGAAAATTCTAAAACAAACGCAGATAACTACACAGTTTCGTTTCCTTGACATTTGAAATGCCTGATATCAAAAATCGTCCCTCATTAACATAATGTAAGAGATATAAGAACACAAGTAAACAAGCGTCGTTTCGCTTGCCGACAAGTCAATATGATAAGCTGTGATCCACTTAAAACACTTTAGTTTTTGGTAATTCCATACGCGAACCGTCTGAACTGATAGATTACAAGTATTGTTTGTTTATCTGTTGCAAAGCTACATGATGGGCTATCCGTGATGTGCCCACCACGGGTATCTAAACTCGATTTTGAGCGTCATATATCGTCAGACTTACTCCCATTGGATGGACATATTAGAAGGAAGTTTATTTATTTGTGGTACTCTAATCAAACAGTTTGATTTGACTATCCTTCTTTTAACATATGCCCCCTCACACACTCAGCGGTAAATTTGAAGGCTTAAAACTATAAAAATTGGTTTCCGATACCCGTGGTGGGCACAGCACAGGCAGCCCATTCTGAAGTTTTGCACATAAAACCAAAGGGAAGAATTTGAAGGTAACCATGGCTCAAAAGTACAGAATATAATATTATTAATTATTTCTGCGTTACCGATCCGCAGCCCGGTACGTTAACTTCTTTCTTTTTTATGTAACACAACGAGCCGGTTAAACTGTTGATGGCTAGTGCCAGGTTTAAAGTTAATGAAAGATCACAAACTTATAAGACAAGAACTTTGTACCAACGAATTAAAAAGAAGGATTTAATTATAAAATGTTGTTATTTTCATTTCATGTAACAACCAAACTCTCCTGATGAGATACAAGTCCAAACATGTTCAGTTCCTTTCAATAGCAGGTTCTAGTTTAATTAAAACAAAACTCTCTTGGTGAGATACAGGTCCAAATATCCTGTTTCTGGGCACGCTTTACACACAATGCCATCTGATTGCTCGTGGCCTCGCGCTTGCTAAGGTTTCTATCACGAACAGGCAACATCAACGCATATTAAACAACGTGTGTGCAGGTGTTTTCTTTAGGAAAGGCCTAACAACCTGATCTCCTTATCACCAGTTTTTTTTATGTTTATATATATATATGACACGTTTCTTCTCGTCAGAGTTTTATCATCATCATAAGAACAACTCACAAGGTTTCGGCCAATCAGCAACGGAGAAGAAGACGTGTAATATTTGTCGAAACCTTATCATTGTGTTTATCAAAACTAAGAATACGTGAGCTAATAAATCAATGAACGGTTGCCATGTCATTACTGTTCAAGTATTCTAGAATGTATTCTTGGTTGTCATCAGATCAGATACTTGTCGTCAGTCTCGTCCACAACACACACACACAAACTCGTCCACAACACACACACACACAAACTCGTCCACAACACACACACACAAACTCGTCCACAACACACACACACAAACTCGTCCACAACACACACACACAAACTCGACCACAACACACACACACAC